TTAAATGAATTAAATGAATTAATGGGTGAATTAAATGAATTAATGGGGGTGTGGCCAAATAGACCCCAAAGGCCCTTCTCTCATATATATATACATGTTTCATGTGCATATATATATATGCACATGTGTAGATCTGTGAATACGCACAGACGCACACGCAGTCACACACATGCGAATCATGGAAGGAAAGAGAGGCGAGGCTTTGTGTTGCTGGAAGCCCATCTCCCGCTTGGCCTCCCCAAGCCTTCGTCCGATAAATCGCTTGGCATTGAAGATGGTGTGCTGGGGATACTGGCCTCGAGAACAGGAAGTCTGGTGGAGACAAGAGCGATCTGCCCTGAGCCTCGATTCGTAACGGCTCTCTCGCCGACGACAGCCTTGCCGTCCGCCAAGAATGTCACAACCGACCTCGATATCGGAAAGGAGAACTCACCGCGAATACACCGAAAGCTTCATTGGCATGTGTGCCACGTGCAAGTCTCAGCCGTCTATGCTCCGAACGGCAAGAGTTGCTTTCCCGTAGCATGGTCTGGTATGATGGAGATGGTCTGGAAACGACGCATAGGCAAAGCTGACAGGCAAACATAAGGCTGCAGGGAGCACCCCATCTGTTGCTTTCAATGCCACCACGGAGAAGGTTGTCCCCAGATCAATGCCAACCACCTCGACGAAACAAGATCAGTCAAATCGGAATCGGAAGCATGAAAGAGCCTCAGGAAATAGATTCAATTGCCTGCGGTCTTCCACGGAAGCCAAGCGCGGCCAAAATTGACGAAACCTTGACAACACGAACGTTAGTTTGCGGGTTCCCTCGCCACACTGCAGCGTAAGCGCATGGCAAGGACCACCAAACCGCCAAGTGCCAGCAAGTACTGTGGCACAACCGGCAAGCACTCATCAATTCGCTGCACGGCAACACTGCAGTCCTGCATCAGCTTCCGTTGGGAACGCCCGCGCTGCTCCCAGAGGAAGTGATTTCGCCCATCGTCGGCTATGTGCACACTAGTCCTAGCGGCTAGCGAACTGTTTGCAGTAGCTTCGAACGAGTGTTCGATGTTCATGATGCTCATCCCGAATCCCTCGATTGCACTCGATCCCGGTTGCAGTTCGCCTGCGTCGACGTTCCTTCTCGTGGCAACATGGGTACAGTGTGTCCAAAAGAAGTTGCTGATATACATGTGTCTGAAGCAGTACTGGAGCCTGGACTCGGCAGGGACGAGACAACCAGACCACGAACCAGCGCCTTTGCTGCGCTGACAAGAGCCTGAACCCAGCTCTGACCAACTTCGTCTCCGGATCGATGTTTCCTCTCCGGATCGATGTCATGATCAAGATGATGAGGGCGATAAAGGTGATACGAGTATGCCTATGATGTTACTTATCATCATCACGGTCATACTCCTCATCTTCATCATAATCATCGTCATAACTCTGCCCATCGCCCTCGTCATTACGATTGTCAGTATCACAAGCATCACCATCACCACCGCCCCACCACCACCAGCATCATCATCATTGTTCTTCGCTTGTCCTTGCTCAAGATGGTCCGATTATTGAGATGAGAAATTTAGGAATTTAGGAAGGGGCTGGCAAACGGTGGACCAAAACATTGCATGGCGGAGTTGGGTTTCAAGTTGGCGGATAATGCTCAGCGATGCATCCCAGACAAATGCTCTGAATATGCGTGGGGCGAGGCGTGCCGCAAATGGACTTTCTCACCAATGAACTTGGATGAGCCCATCCGCCTGCATAGAACTGCTTGACAGTCCGCAGCTCCATCAATACATGTCAAATACAATCGACACCCCCAACGAGCGTGGAATGAAGTGAGGTAGGGTTTTGCAGCAAGACAGCGTCAGAACCAGGCAATCGAGATGAAGCCCCGACATCAACCAGTCGCAAGCTCCAAGCACGAAGCAACTCACCAAAATGCAGCAACTGCAGCTCTTGGTCAAGCCATGCCAATTGGGGTTTGTTGATGGTGCAGCGGTGTGAAAACAGCCAAGCTCTCTGCCTTCCACCAGTTTGTTCACACAACTTGACATACGTTAACGATAGAACCATTGAGCGCCACACAGCTGCAGACGCGCATCATGGCGTGGCAAGAACCTAACGTAAGAGCGGCTGCTCTATGGAAATACAATGTGGCAACATGCTCCTTTTCAGAGGAGCATCAACAGGCTTGCCTGCTTTACTGTCTAAGTGTAAGAAGGAGGTCCACTTGAGCAGACTGGACAGCACATGCAGCCATCGTGACGTGGAACTGCCACGACCGAAATGACGACCTAATCAGCGGCACAGCATTACGTGCAATTCGAAAAGAAACGTTTTCCATGGGCAGCAAACCACTGCTCTGCAAAAATGATGCAGCTTGACTGCACAAGAACATCCGCGAATCGGCATCCTATGCACAAACACTGCAATCACTTAATTATGCTACCAGCCTTGCTGGAAGTTGAAAACTTGCCACAACTTCCTTCGGAAGTTCGCTCTATTCCTAATGCTACACCCGTCAGATCGCTCAGGCGAGCGCGCTCCTGAGATGCCTAGGCACTGCATCGTGAGATGTGGTCAGGTCAGACAAGCCAAGCACTCAAACTCAGAAGGGTCTGGCGCTTACGTGCTCCACGTCTAGATCTTGTCCAGGGTGTCGGTGAAACCAGATCCTTGCCTTTGCTGCGTGCAGCTAAGGCCACCACACCGCTAGAACTGATTGACGTCCTTGCATGTTGGCCACTCCCAGTGATCCGTACGGGATGGGAGGGAGGTCCGCGAGAGTTCTTTGAAGTCTTGGCGACAGTTTCTCTGACCACGACCTTGCATTCGGAGTCGAACCAATGCCGCAATCTAAGCCAAGCGGCTGATGCAAGGCCTCGGATCATGCAGGGCACAGCCAGAGCTCTCACAGCTCGGACCCAGAGCGCTTAAGAAGGAAGAGTGGCTAAAACGGCCAGGTCATCCCCAGAGCTGACATTGCAGTCATTGGCGCAGGTGTTCTGCACCCTTTCCTGGGCACAACAGCACGAGGAAAGCACTCTCAGTCTTGAAGCTGCTTTTCAGGCCAGTTGCGTTGCAGCGTCTGCGCAATTTTTGCATCTTGCTCCGCCTGCATGGAATGGCAGCCAAGTGCGGTCATACTTCTTCTCAATCCAGCCATCCTTTCTACGCGTTATAGTCGCTATGCGGCCATGCCACGACCATGCATGCACAGATCCTGGGGGAATAATTGGCCGCAATGTAAGTGAGCATTGGATTTGCGGACGTATGTGCGTGAAATGACTAAAATCGCGTTGCACGAAGGGGACGTGAAATTCACAGGGCGGGTGTGAAAATTCGCACGGACTCCGATGTCGTATAGAATCAAATATTTCGATGAGACTTGTACAGCTGGTGTAGATTCGGCTGAAATCTATGAAATATTCTTACCAGCCCAATCTCTAATGGCTCAGAAAATTGTTTGAACAATGGCTCTACCTGGCTCAAAACCCTCTCTGGAGGGAAAGTCGTGGCAATAATTCAGGTTTAGGAGGTTCCAGTAAAGTATTCTAAATTGCTAGGAACGACCAACCCTGCATATGTGGCCTTTTGTTTCCTGGAATTCCTTGAAACATGAAGCCCAAATCTATCGAGCTGGGGTACACGTGCGCATATACGAACCCTTCTCCCCAAATTCCTAAAGTCAGTACAATCCTCAATCTGTCGAGGAAGTTCGGATGCTAATAATGCACGCCCCTTAACCCCGAACCTAAGCTTACGAAGAGCAAATTGGGGATGAAGACAAAAACATCTATCCTGAATTGCTGAGCCAAATTGAGCAAAGGATATGACACATACGTGGTGCTGGAATGGCTACAGACATTGTGTGAAGCCCACCGTGAGCTTGTGCCCAAGGAACCTTGCACTGCTGAGTGGTGTGCTACGCACGTGATGTCCATGCTGCACAATGCCTCTAGACACCCGACTGCGGAGCAGCCGCGCAATAAGAGTATTTCGGCCAGCGTTTCATGAATAGCTACCGGTGTATGTTGCAGTGTCGCGAGCCATTTTTTGGATGCGACCTAAGTTTCATACTGGGTCATGTCTTCCGAAGCTCCCCCCCCAAGCAGGGCGAATCGGACTAATTACTCCACATGGATGGACGAAAATGCTCCGAAGAAACTCATGAGGGTGACCATGACTAACTGTCAGACAGCAGAGCAGAGACTTCTGGAAAGGTGGTTGCTGGCCGAAGGTGTGGGCGAATGAGTATAAAAAAGCTCCGCGGCATACGTCGTAGACCCGGGTCGAAGAAGACAAGATCAGTCAAGTAAGATAGATTATATGGAAGTCTGGCCTACTTAAGTCTGCATTATATGTGTTAGCACTCCAAGTCCTCCAATCTTAGGAAGCTAAACCCTCACACCCCGACCCTGGCTCCGGCACATGTAAACGTTTCCCATAGGGATATGCTTGTTATAAACATGGCACGCACTGTTGTGGCTCTAGTCTAAAGTGGCGATGCGAAACCCGAATTGAGGTTCGGCTTCAGTCGAAACACACACCGTGAAACATACCTTTCGTTTCCAACAGATGTAGATGGCACTTGCTGCTAGCTGCGAACGAACGCTTCTGCGAATGCATGGCATCTGCACGTGAACTGTTCGCGTGGGCGTCCTCGGGCTTGAGTCTGACATGAAAATGCTTTAAGCGTTACCCAACCTCCGGAAGTCGCGGCCCTAGTCTCTCTTTGCAACCCTGCTATCCAAATCTTGCTTGGCGTTTGTGCTCGTAGGCTCCTTTAATTCCAGGACTGAACGAAACCCACATTCAGTATTCACTGTCCTTGCTGTGTTGTGCTTGGGGAACAGCACGACATGGTGTTCAGTGACTCGGACCTACCGATCGGTTCTCGATACAGTAAGGGGCAAAACAAGATGGCTTCGTTCTGCCTGAAACACTGACACCGAATACATCGCTTACTAGTACAGTAGCAACAAGCCTCTTACCATGTTGCAATCAGGAATCAGGAAGAAGATAGCTCCTCTATCTCCTCGTTTAAAATCGATGGAAGGAGTTCTGCATCATCTCTTGCTTTGCTAGCCACGGACACGAAAACTCAGAAGCATCTGAATAGACGCTTGAGCTTCGGCTTAGGCTCCGGGAATTGGGCTCCTGCATCGGGCGGGGCTCCAGGTAGCTGCTTTCTTCGAGATTGACCATCCCGCTCCCTTTTTTCATGGCGTGCATACCTTTGGAACCGAAGCATTGATCGATTCTCGTAATTCTCGACCTCAACTCGTCATTGACATCACGGCAGGAACCTGCCTTGGCTTTCTTTTTCATCTTCTTCTTTTTCTTCCCCGTCTTCAGGTTCTCCCCGGAGAGCCAGGAGACGAATTCCTGCAGGTCCTGAGCACAACAACGCTCACTGAAACGTGCGAAAGGGTAGCATGAATGTGCAAGATGAGGGTTTGGGGTGGGGCTAGGATGCTCTGGGTCCAAACTGAGTGTCAATGACTCCATCATTGTTCACGTCAATCTCTGCGAAGATCCTTAGAATCTCGCAAACAGAAGAGATGACTTGCTTCGAAGCTGCCACTTCATCCGAAGGCTCTTGTTGAGAGTGACCTGCACCGCCATTTTCAGAATGTGGAAGCTTGAGGAACATCTCTGTGCAATGGGGCACCCTTAAATGACAAAAGAGCAGGAGCTCTGCCAGATATGGACACCTTGAAGCTTTGGGATCGTGATAGTCAGCGGTGCTCTCCGTCAGCACTATTCACTTGTCGTCTCTCGTTGCTGCAGAGATGGCCTCTGTGAACTTAGGGTTCACCTGCTTCAGAACCTGGCCCATCTCCTCTGTGGAAACCTTTCCATCTCCATTCTTGTCCTCAGGCAAAGAGCAACGCACTGCGAGCAGAAACCTCAAGAGGGCACATCCGAGATCACATCCGAGTAGCCCAAGCCAAGAAGGTGTCGACCTTTGCTTGGCATCAGACCCGATGGAAGACTCGCGCAATCTCCGAGGAAAGAACGAGCTGATCGAGGCCCCTGTCGTCGCAATCCACGACCTCACAAAGTCGGCAACCAAGCACCCCCCCGGGCCCGCCCCCCTTCTGCTTGCGTAGAGTGCTTTGTGATTCTGATGACTAGGTGTGCTTAGTGATGTTCTAGGCCCCAAGCAGTCACGTTCGAGGCCTCGCCATGGCTTTGACAGCACAGGACAGGACAAAAGGAAGGAAAGGAACAGGGCCGGGCGCCTGCAAATGGAGCGTGATGGGGAAGTGCTTGCTATCCAGAGATGCAGTCTTGTCCTTGAGAATCTCTCTTAGAGCGATGGACTCTCCAGCCGCATTCGTGGCATGGTATTTCAAGCCTGCAAAAGACCAGGGACGAGGCTGGCCAACCGACATGAAACGACTCTCAACGGTTGTATGCGCGGAATGGCCTTCCTCCTCCTCTTTGAAACCGCGCCGTTTCAGGAGTTTGGAGACTTCGGATTTCCAGTCGTCGCTCCAGCTGATGTCCTCTTCCTTGGAAGACAGCGAGGAGAGACAGCACAGGTCATCCGTCTCTGCCCAGATGCCTTCTTCTGCACCCCTTTCTGGTACGTCTGTCTCCTGGAAGCTGAGCAGCAAACGCAAACGCGAAGCACCCGACTTTGCGCTGCCGAGCAGCACTTGGTCCACGGTGGCCAAGTTGTCTGACACAAGCCATCCGATGTCCTGGTAGTTAACCTCGCCTGGTCAGGACGAGGTGCCCTGCATGGTTTGGTCGGTCTGCGGGTCTCACAGGGTCCCAGCCCCACAAGTTCAATGAAGTCAGGCCACCGTCCCGGTCTTGGTCACATTTGCTGTACAACTCCTCCGCAACAGCTCTGGAGAATCCAGCCTCCATCCTTGCGAGTTCTTCTGGTTCAACAGGTCTAAGATATGCTGCTATGCTTGCTGTCGTTGAAGTCGTTGTGTGAATGTTGTTCGTTCAAGAGCATGACTGGAGCCGCAGTAGAGAGCAAACCGCCAACCCGGACCCACGCGCACTCGTCTCTGCATGGCCAAGCGGTCTTGGGCATGCGGTCACAACCGAAACGGACAAGCCGAACCTAACCCTGCAGCTTCCAGGCTTGCGCACCCAGAACCACGAAAAGAGTTCTACCCAGGTTGCCTCGGCCTTCTGAGATTCTAGCTGCCGTAACTTCGTCTACCCAGCAAGATCCAGGACACACTGAAATTCCGCACCTCTCGAATGGGTTGCGGCGCAGAGGCAACAGTGTTCGGCTGAGATTTCTCTAGACTGCGACCACCGCCAACATTGAGGCAAGGAGCTTCTGTCTGACGAAATCGTCCTCGGCATAAGGACAATTCACGACACGGAATCGCATCTGAAGCTTGGGAGATCAGAGTCACATCTGCAGCCGCGAGTCGCGACTGAAGCGCAGGCCCCGTTCTCTCTCCTCTTGTCTCCTTGCCTTCGCAACGTTAAGCGAGGTGCATCCGACGATCCGATGCCGTTCACTCACGCCTCTTCGGCTGCTTTGGCCTCTTCGGCATCTTTCCTCCACGTAGACTCAACAAATTCTCGGAGGTGCTCTCAGCACTCCGCTGGGAGCTGCCCGGTTGCCTGCTGCGGAAGGCGGCGAGCCGCTCCTTCGAAGCAGAGAGGAGCGCGGCAAAAACGGGCAGAGCACACCTCTTGACTGTGGCGCGCGTGGAGTGCCGAGCTCCTCGGTTTCGTGGATCTTTCGCTTGTTCTCGGCAACAGCCATGTTCAGCAACTGCGGGCGATAGTCATCCGTCTGCCTGCGGCAGGGCTGGTGCCATGATCACTGTTGGTTCTAGTTATATTGTGCGCATAGATCCGACGGGTCACGTCGTTCTACTGATGTCTTGACCGCATTCGTTTGCCTGCCATCATGGCCGTTGACCCAACTCCAGAACTCGATGATAGAAAGCTCGCCATCCTCGGAAGCAGACAAAGAGAGAAAGAGAGAAAGAGAGGCAGCAAAAGATAGGGGAGAGAGAGCGAGAGAGCTTGTTCCGTCGACTCTTCAGTGCTACCGCTGTCAGACGCTCCTTGTTCTTGTCGAACTGATCAATGAGGGTCTGAACGCTGTCTGGGCTGAAGCTGAGCGAGAGCAGAACCTGAACAGGAGCTTGATGCGACCCTCATCTCGCTGAAGGGTATCTCGGACTTGCATGGCGGGCAGCTCTTTTCATTTCATCAGCATCGATTTTGCCGCTGTGATCAACATCCAGCAATTCAAAGATCAACTTGACCTCGCACGATATCGTTTCTCACCGCTTTCGTGCCATCCATGCCTGGGCTCCTCACCTCTTCGCCTTGTGTTTCTGGTTCTCCCAGTCCTGACATCTTCCCACTGGGGAGTCCTCGCTGAACACGTCACCGAAGCTATGGGCGAAAGCACGGTAGCGAAAGCTGAATCTCAGCCCGGCACCACCGCTATCGATTCGCCATCAGTCGAAAGCTACTGGACACACAAAGGAGCTGTAGGCCAAATCATCGAAGGAGCTGCGAAGCACCGAAGAGCCCCAGACCCTCTGAGCCTTTGAACCCCTCGTGACGGCTCTGTCGCCAGCTGGCACTATTGTAATTCTTGTCTCTGCACTCAGCTGCAGGAGCACTGCGCTTTGCGGGTCCAGAGAAAGTCGAGATCTCAGCACCGTCACCACGGCGTGCAATGGCGAATTGTGCAACTTGTCCGGGTCAACCGCGAGGCTCAGTGAGCAGCGAGACCCGCCCGAGGCTAAACGCAAAATCTCGATATGTTGTGCGAAGTCACGAAGGCCAAGGGGATCTAACAAGCTGCTCACAAGCCATCAGCAGCATGACACATCCAGCCAAGCTGTGTCGAATTCGTGCAGTCGACCTAATTCAGGAAATGTGTGGTTGGGCTGAGCTTCCATGCTTCAGGACCGGCAATCGCACGGGCAACAAATGTGTATCTCAGCATACACGTCACAGTGTTGCAAGGCAATCCAGATGTGGCCGTCTTCTGGCCTTTCTGCTGTTGCATTGCATATGGAGGCATCTTCAGATGTTTATTGCCTTCCGACGGATCTAAGAATCTAAAAACTTGAACCTCGTATTGATGCCGCTCTGCGGCCAAAAGGTCAGCGAGTAGCTGTAGAAGGGAGCATCCGGTTGGCGGACTTCAAATGTTGACGTTGAAACAACTCAAGACCGTAACCAGCATGGGAAAAAAAATAAGGCTGCGCCGGGAAGCAGCATGCTCGTGGCATAGCTTGTTGCAGTGCCAGAAACATCTGCAAACAGCAGTAGCCCGTGTGAGTTTTGCATGCCATACTGATTCACTTCAAAAGGCTTCTCTTTCGGTCCAGCACTCCTTGAAGTGGATAAGCTGTCGCTGGCATCCGACCAACTCAAGGGCCCAATGGCCTTGCAGCTTGCCTGCAGACATGCCAACCACGCCAAAATGGACCCGAAGCACCGCTTCAGCCTGAACGACCCCCTGCCTGCAGACATGCCCAGTCCCACTCTATCTCTAAGAGGCTTGATTGATCCAAATTTCCTCTTTCTCCCAGTATGTAACTCCGGAACCGCTGTCCTATCGCCGAAACTCCTGGCCAAAGGGCCGCAATTCGTGTTTTGGAACCCCGCTTTGAACTGGAGTTCGAGCCTTCGGCAGCCGGCAGGCAACAGAGAGGTGCTTTCAAAGGATGTAAAAGGGTTGGCACGCTGTTGCCATCGCCTGCACATCGGGGGCGCTTGCAGCCGCTGCCAGACATCTTACACGAAGCAAGGACCTCCTCCTCCTCCAAGTCTTCACGCTGTGAGAGGTAGCTGCCAACACAGGTCCTTACGGGCCGGGCCCCGGAAATCTGAAAACCTTGAAGAACCACTCGCCTGCCTGCTTCAAGCCGGTCTCTGTACGGCCTTAAAACAGGCACAGACACAAAGAAAAGTCAATGCACAAAGTGATACACAGACTGATCGATTGACTGACACCCGCCTGCCTCACTCACTGGTTAACTACAGTACAAACCTCACTCAGCAACTACTTGAAGACTTGGCAACTGGACTTACTCACGCTTAACTACAGCTCTTCTATTAAGTGGACCTTTTGTCCCTTTTGGCCCTTGGATTTGCCGAGTCCTCTCCTTCCTGCTTCTCTTGCGCTTTAGGCTTAAGGCCTCCCTGTCCGGCACTGCCTCCCCTCCGCCTTCGGCTGGTTCTCCGCCGGTAGTGTAGAAAACATGTGAAAGAAAACCTCAGGTCGCTTCTCGCCACCTTGAGATGTTTCGCACGGATATAAGGACCTAAAGCGAACTACATGCGAGCATTCCACCATGTCTGCTGCTGGAACCTAGGACGTCTGAATCTGGGTCGCTGACACTGTTGCTCTACCTGCAACATGCATCTCCACAACAATAGGCGCTGCCAGTGTGGTCACATCGCCTGCTCGACCGCAATCATTAGCAACTTCATGTCCTTCTGCAACGGCTTCACCTCAGCTCTGCCGTGATCACCACAGGAGGACCTTGAAAGCCCTGAACTCAGGCACTGGCAGCATAATCCAGTGCGAAACCATTCCGCTGTGCCGCCAAACACATGAACTCTCGACTGGCTCGGAGCTCCTCAAAACGGCCCAGGCCCATCTGAACTGCTCTGCTCTGCACTGCCCTGCAGTGCTCTGCATTGCTCTGCACTGCTCTGCCGCCTGGGGAGCAAAGGCGAGCACCGAAGGATCCCGCGCCAGAGCCTGCGACTTTCGGGCGAAAGGATTCGCAGAACGACTTCGGTTTTCCTTGCCTTCAGCCAGAGGCCCCAATCACTTCGAAGGTCTTCCCCTGAGATATCCCGAGCTGTGCCAGGCTAGTCGGACGGCGTTTGCACTGCCTGCGTAGCGAAGTCCGTGTGGCTGATGCTCCGCGACCTGCCTGGGAGAGACTGGACTTGAGGCGAAGAGCCAAAGTGGCGACCTGGTTGAGGATCCGACCCCATGACATACTTGTCGTTCCGCACCTGGCCGTGGCCGCTGCGCTGCTGCAAAGAACTTGTTGCTAATCATTTGCATAGCAGGCCTCGGCAGATGCAAAGGCCAGGACGGCTGCATCGCGCGAGGCTGCAGCCAACACGATGTCAGGATCTGCCTGTAGGTCCTCGCATGGTCGGGTGTCAGAACCGAGCTCTCACAACATGGGCAGGGGACCTTGGACGCATGTCGCAAGGCACGGCCTTGGTTGGATACCGCAGCCATGACCTCAGAGAGACAAGTGAAGCCGCCACAAAGAGAGAGCAAGAGAATAAGCTCGATGCCACTTCACGATCGCTTTGCAGTTCCTACAGCCGTAAAATTGTCAAGCATGCAGAGCAGTTCATGCTTGACGTCTCCTGGCATGCGTGCTCAAGCGAAGACCCATACGTGTTGACGGCGGCGAGGACAACGGCCTCTGGCATCCAGAGCTCTGCACAATGAGATCAAATCACCCTTCTCATTCTCATGGAGCCACAGCGCTAAAGCTTGCCCTGCCCAAACCGATGCATCCGCCACAAGCGCTGCAGCTCTTTGCTTCCAGTCTGGGCTGAACGGCCTTGTTGGCCTTCAGACTGCTGGAAGCATGCGCCAGCGCCGAACCAGCTTGCTCGACCTAGGAGCTCAGGTTTGCAAGGAGCCCACGGTAAGACAGTGATATTGATAGCAGATTCTAGCGTACCGCTACTGCTCCTCCTCCTGCCACTACTGCCACTACTGCTGCTGCTGCTGCTACTAGTACTACTGCTACTACTACTACGGCTACTACTACTACTACTACTACGACGACGACGACGAGCCAACCCCTGCCACAGACCTGCCGGCTGAACCCATCAATCATCATCATCATCATCATTATCATCATCAGCATCATAAGGTGCCACAGGACTGTCACGTGTTGCTGCAGCAGCACATCGGCCCCTCTGTGTGACTGCAGATAGGCTGGGGCCATGTGCTGTACGTGTTGGGCATGTTTATAGATGTGTAGTTCGTTACCATTTTGGATCAAGTGAGCACGGCAGTTTCGTCGTAGGTCGCCACAGTGCAGCCTGCAGCGACATAGGGACTGTCCGACCTGTGACGGTCGGTGACCACTGGCAACTCTGTGCACTTTGTGCCTTCACATCTGATGCACAACACTGGTGACTTGGAGAGGAAGTGCTGCTTGTTGCAACACTTCCGACTGCACCAGTGGCGTGGAGCACCCAGCCCTTCAGCAACTCCGGAAGTGGGACGGCCGTTGACAGTGAGTCCCTGGTGTCCACGGAAAGGCAGGGTGCCCGACTTGCGTTTCGAAGCTTGGCTGCTGGCAGCTGCTTCGAGTCTGCTACCACTACTACTAAGACGACGACTACCACTATCACTACCACTACCACTACCATATCACTATCACTATCACTATCACTACTACTACTAACTACTACGACGACGACGATGACGCAACAACAACGACAAATACCATCCATCACCAAGTCACCAACTGCACCACCACCACCACCACCACCGCCACCACCACCACCGCCTCCAGCACAACAAATACCACCGCTGCACAAGCACCAGCACGACGACGACAAAGACTGCTAATTGCTAGTACTCCTGCTGCTGCTGCTGCCTCTACTGCTGCCGCTGTCGCTGCCACGCCACGACTAGTCCGACGACCACGACAACTAGCATTGCTGCTACCACCAACACCATGTCCATCACAATCAACACCCATCATCATATCGGAAATCAAGTCTGCTGTCACCTGTGCTTGGCAAGCCGCGGCGCAAAGAACCACTTCCTCGCAGTCCTGCCTCGGTGGCACTGTCTGCTTCATCTTGGCTTTGACACCGAGTTCTAACACAAGCTCTTGGCGATGACAGGTGGGCAGTTACCATCTCGGAGCCACTGCGTCACATACCCCCCTTCACATCAGCAGCACGCTATGTAGCTGCAACAAGCAGAGGCGGCGGCAAGTCTGGTGAAGCAAACTTAAGAGAGTAGCCGTGTCTCCTCAGCACCTCACAACACACAGACACACACACACACACACAACATGCAACATGTTGTAGCAGATTTCACTGCAAAGTGCCCGAGCTGTCTCTCCAGGGCTCGAGCAGTCATGGCAATCTCTCGATCATCTCGGATATGTTCCGGAGCATTTCTGAACAGATCCTGCGGCTAGGTGGAATCTGCAGCAGCAGGGGGGGGGGGGGGCGTTCAGCACCAGAAATCGCCTGTCGAACTTTGCATCGGTTGATTCTGCACATCTGCAAGTGGATTCTGGCATAACACAGTGCAGTAGAGTATAGTCTAGTCTAGTACAGTATCGTAGCGTTAGTGTATAAAATAGTATAGTATAGTATAGGAGAGCATAGCAGAGTAAAATGCAGTGGAGAAGAGTGCAGTATGGTAGATTATACTACACTACCATACTAGATTTTGCTATAGTATAGTAAGTAGTATAATATACTATAGTATGGTATAGTATAGTATGGTATAGTACAATACAGTACAGTACAGTATCGCACAGTACAATATCTGCGGCATGGTACAGTCTAAAGGAGCAAGGCATATATTTTATCGTCAAATAGTATTTTACAGATGGTGCTTGTAGTTTCAATATAGTTCAAGCGTAATACAACCATGATGCAATCTACTATCCTATCCTTTGCTTTACTGTGCTATATAGTATACTATACTACTCTGTCCTCTACTACTATACTTACCTTGCTACTATTTCTCCATGTACCATACTACCTGCATGACAAAGTTTAGATTAAAGTAGATTAGGTCACATGTGATTGTTAGGATAGGTTAAATATAGTAAAGCATCGTATCGTAAAGTGTAGCATCTCTCGCATACGATGGTATGGTATGGTATGGTATACTATACTACGCTGTACTACACTATACTATGCTATGCTGTGCTATACTATGTTATACTATAGTAGCTATAGTATACCATACGATACTTTTCTATGCTATGTTCTCACTACAAAAGATTATGCTACACTGTTGTGTTCTGGTATGTTACGCTACTTTGCAATATGCTTTGTTACACTACATTGCACCGTGTGTTACTGTATTTTATTCTACTGCAATATTCTCTGGAATACTACATTACAACATGTCAGAAACTGCCGCCTATGTCAAACTCTACTATGTTACGTTATAGCGCATTATCGTCAACTAAACTATACTACCTTATGCTAGTTGGGTTATAAATTCAACCTTTCGACTGTACTATGTGACGTTATACTACGGACATGCCCATGTCTATGTGTCGGTGCGTGTTATGCAGGAACTTATGTATGTATAACATGAGATGTGCGTGTGAGCTCTTGTGTGTGTGTGTGTATGTATGTATGCATGTATGCAGGTATGTAATTACTTAGGTAGGTGGGCATGTACGCATGTATGTATGTATGTAGGTATGTATGTATGCATGTATGTCAATGTATGTGTTAACGTGTATGTAACCTGCATGCATATATCGCCACCGTTGATTTAAAAGCAGGCTGTGGCTGCAGCATCGACTATCGAACTAAGCCAAGCCGAGCCATGATTCGTTCAAAACTTCTACTTTATACATAAAGACAAGCAAGTACATGCATAGAAACCTTTGTGATTGTACTTCTATCGGTACGGATGTGTGCAACAGTATGCATACAGCACACAAAGCACCTCGGTGTTGTCTTCGCTTCATAGGAACTACCAGCGCTTGGGTCCGAGAGGACTCCTGAGGACAGATCCATTTAGAGCCTGTTATGCCGTTGCCGGATCGGCCCTCAATTCGCGCCACTCGTACCCCACATGCAGTCACTGCCAAATCTGCTTTTCGCATGCTCCTCCTTCGGAGATTGTTGAAAAGTCTGGAATTGTCAGAGACCCCAGCAGTCAACCCTTCTGATGAAACGGTGGCGAGGCATACTCACATGGATTGCGCGCAGCGAGCCTGCGGAAATTCAGATAATTGCAGGCGCTCTCGCCTAGGACGGCGAAGCAAGGCCAACAGTTGCTACCAGTAGGACAGGAGACGCTGCAAGGCCTTGACATCCTGGTACCAACCCTTGATCACTGGGGTGGCCACCACTCTGCGAACTCTGGATTTCGCACCAGAAGACTCAAGAACAAAGAGGCTTCAGGCTGTGCACCTGGGGACGTTCTGCACTTGAAATGCACCGGAGAGACTGCGACTGGTGCTTCTCTGGTAAGGCCAGTACTCAAGTCGTCCGTCTCCTGGACTGCTCAGCTCTGGGACGGTTGTAATACAAATAACAATAGCAATAACAATAATAACAGTAATAATAATAACAAGAGTAATAATAACAATAATAATGACAGTAATGCTAATAGTGATCTTATGGCTATCCAGTTCCATGTGTCTGGCAAGCACGACTCGAGCCATCAGGACGGCATCTTTTTCTGCAACGTTCGCACAACCCCTCCATCCCCTTGTTGAAATCGGCTTACATTAGGTCTTGGTGTGACAAGTGTGGCTTGCCGCTCGTCGGGGACCTTCGCAAAATTGCTCAGCTAGGTGGCCAGTCTGACCATCAGTCTCTTCAGTAAAGATGATGTTAGTAGGATTATATAAATATTCAACTTTTCAGCAATGGTCATTAAGCCAAAGTAGGATGGTCACATGTCCCGTGGACTGTCCCAAAAGTCCCGGCTTACAGGAGCGGGCATGCGAAAAGCTCTCAGAAATCTAGACTCCCCCGTGCGAGAGAAGGAATCCGTGACAGGGAAAAGGAAATCGTGGCTTGCAGGATGCTCATCTGCAACTAGATCTCACTGAAATCCTTGACGTCCCCCAAGGTATCCTCCGACTCTTCACCATAGACGAATACTTCGATGTAGCGGTTCCCCACCCACTTGTGGTTGAGTGCCTTCTGGGCTGTCTCTGCATCCTTTCGGCTACGCATCTGGACAACGGCCTGTCCCGAAGGCCGTCCGTTTGCTTTCGGCAGAAGAAGCGCCGATCCAGGCTCGTCATGAATCAAATCTGCGACGTCGTGTTGCGCGAAGAAGGCCAAGACATCCTGGACGGTGACGCTGAAGGGCAGGCCTCTCAGACGAAGTGCTGCGATGCCACTTTTGTCGTCGGCCCTGTTCTCCTTGCCCTCGCTGAGCTCCTCCACAGTTCCATTGCGGCCGGCAAAGGGGTGTGCCTGTGGGTGAAGATGTGCATGGCTTCTCAAGGAGGCGCCATCCGGAGCCTTGCTCTTCTTGGCACCTTTCTGCGCCTCACCTCCCCAGGACATGTTCGGATTCCACGGGGAGAAGGACGGCCATGAGTAGTCCGGCCAGCCACCGCCTGGTGGAAACTGGCTGAAGTCCAACATCGGCATCATTGGGTCGTGCCCTGGGGCACCGGCATATGGCGGCCAGCCAACATTCGGGAAGTTCTCCAAGTCTAGCGGGTTGTTGCCACGATGCTGCGCAGGGGTTCCCCAATCGCTCGGGGTAGCCATGCAGAAGTGGCTGTGAGCAGATGGAGCCTTCCCTGTTGGTGAAGTCATCCGCCGGTCTGGTGTCTGAGGCTCCGGATTGGACAGGCTGGGCAAGTTGGGGCCCAAGCCCCAGTTCAAATTCTCAGACCCCAGCATCGGAATCGAAGCTTCGGCACCCTCCTCAGGGAAGTCTGTATTCAGCCAGTGCACCTTCTCACAGCCCTTGGGCCCATCAATCAGGAATTCGTTGGGGAAGCGCGCGAGGAAGTGCTTGAGGCCGAGGTTGGCTCTGCGGAGGTAGGCCCGGGACTGGTCCGAGAGTGCAATGCCCAACATGCTCAGCAAGATCTGCTGCCGATCCGGGCCGCTCATGTGAAGCCGACACTCTTCGAGAACTCTTTCCTTCTCTTCCTGGTCGCTGCAAGCGTCCATCACTGCCTCAGGCAAGGAAGGAAAACTAGAAGCTCCGCCACAGAACAAAACCACCTAAAATCTCAAAGAAAGCGAGACCGTGAGACCCTCTTTGACGTGCGAGGGGCCGCGGCCAGGGTTGGCTCCTTGAGGAGATCGTCTGCCTTCCTCCTGCCACGGCGGTCAGCGCAGGCCAGGACCTCGATGTAGCGGTTCTCCATCTGCTTCTTGTGCAGTGCATCTCGGCACTTGTGGGCAGCCTGAGGCGAAACAAAAAACACTCGTGCAAAGCCCGAAGGCCGTCCATCGCGGTTTGAGAGAAGGCGGATGTTGTCCCTCACCGGGCTGAGAAATCTTGCGTGATCTCCCAAGAAATTCATCACGTCAGCGATGGTTGCACGGAAGGGGAGGCCACGAAGCTGGACAGAGGAAGGGTTCAAGTTGTCGTCGTCTCCGACAATAGCATTTGCTTCCTTGGAAGTCAACCTGTTCTCTGTCTTTTCAATCTTGAGTCCATTGGGGTCTTCGCCTACGATCGGCGCCGGTCCGTTCAGGACAGGGCCCGGTGGTGCCGGAGCCGGAAGTGTTGGAACTGTGGAACTCGTGTTCACAGAGACTTTCTCTTTCTCTGGCGGCCTCTTTTCTTCTGCGCTTGGCTTCTCTGCCTGTGGGAGCATTCCCACGGTAAGCATCACTCGCTCCTCCCCTTTGGGTCCCGACACCTCGAAGATGCCGTAACGCTGCAGCCAGGTGACCACACCTTCTGCATCTGTCTTGGAGCGGAGAGGTGCAGGCAGCCTAGAAAGAATCTCTGCCAGGGGTAAGGACTGACCCGGACATTGGCTCAGGCTTTGTAGGAGCTTCGCCAGGATCTCGCCTTCACTCGGCAGCTCATCTCCCCCGCCCGAGAGCGAAGAGGCGTCCTTTTCAGGCTCGCCGGTCAAACGGCTCTGCTTGTCGCCCATTGCGTGTCGCCCCCGCAATGGTAAAACCCTGACTGCACCCCAACGCTGCCCTTTCCAGTACCAGTACGATTTGTTATGTGCGGTCGCCTGAGGCGCGTGCTGAGAGCAAACTTGTGAAGTGTATGCTTCCTGTGTATGCTTGCACTGGCTCTCGCCAGGCCGACTGCAAGGAAAAAACAAGTTCTCGATGCGCCCACAGCTGCAGCCAGGACAAGAAAAAGTAGACAGGAGGATGCGGGCTGGGCCTCTTTGCCGTCACAACTTGCTCAAGGAACAAGCCGCAGGATCTTCCGGCCTTGAGTTCCTGAATTCCAGACAGGAGCCTCTGGTTGCGTCGGGACCTCAGAAGCTCAGAATCTCTGCCAGGGGCCCCTAAGACCCATGCAAGGGCTCCCGGCACGCCCGTGATCTCCTGTGGGCTCAGCTAAACAGCTCGACATCGCGACCTCATGAATTACCCCAGTCCGCGTCCGCGGCTCCTCCAAGGCGTTCATGACATCTCCCATGCACCAGCCTGGAGAACATCGTCGTTAGAGGTTATTGTGTTTCGCCTGCTGCTTCAGAATCGGGCCCCCACCCTGCTGGCCATCGACCACCCATGAGTCTCCACTCAGGCCATGCACGGTCACCTGCGCCCACAGGACAGGAGACTCATCATCCGCACCTGGCGCCTGCGGCCTTCACGGTCATGGTCAGAAGCGGGAGGCCGCGGGCTGTGCCGGGGGATGCCAGGATGCTACCAGAACCAAGCACCCTCCGATGGAACCGAAACGGCCAACGGTCAGCCCTACCTTTTGGCCCTTTTCGAAAGTTCGGGCCCATGTCTCACCAGGATTCGCAGAAGCTTACATGGTTTGTGTGGGTTCTCATTCGCGTCGTGTGTAGTATAGGCTTCTGGGTTTTTGCTTTCGGCTGTGCAGCCTTAACTTCTCGTTCGGCTGATGGATGAAATGCGGCATTATAAATTTCTTTCGTATCTATACCCTCAGCTCTGGCACTGATGGCATAGTACTTATACATGGTCTATGGAGAGTGTGGCCCCCCGTGGGGCCTTCAAATATCCGCGAATGTATTCATTCCCAGCACTCCCAGACATCTGCATCCCAAACCGTTTGGCCCACCCACTGATGCAAAGTTTTTTGGGGTTTCGGATGTTGGGGCAAAGCCGCGGGAAGGGTGGAATGTCATGGCTCGGGTTTGCCCTGAACCCTACAGACCTTACCTTAAACCCTAAACCTTACATTTGTTGGCTACAGACCTTACCCTAAACCCTAAACCCTATTTCTTTTGGCTCAGAAGAACAGAGGACGCTCTCCTCCACAGAACTGTGTACATCTCTTTGTTCTTCTCGTTGTGTCGGCCGCATTCTTCAGTGGAGGCGACAAAATCGAGGCTGACTCGCGATGCGGTGTATAAAAGCGCAAACAAAGAGAGCCCCATAAACATCAAAACCTAGACCCACGCTGGTTTGGCTCAGAGGCACCAGACATGTGGGAAATCAAGCAGCCCACAGGCAGAGTGCTGCGGCTTGTTGTCACTTTTTCTTGTGTGTTCTGACCAAATGGCAATCGCAAACACATGGAAAAACAAACATAAAAATGAACTTTGTGCAGGTAACCTCGGCTGAACATGTACCGAAACAGTGTAATTCGCAGAACATCGCAGAACATAGGACAGCAAACATTTTGTTGGGAATGACTGATGTGGATTTCACGATGTGGGACAGTGCTTGATGTTTGCAGCGGTCTAGGGATCATCCCGCCGCAAATGCATTTTCAAACTTGCATGAGTTGTCACCGACACGAAGTCAAGTGTCACACCTTTTGAGCGCGTAGATCATGCTCCGATCGCATGGACGTTTCACACAGTCAACATGTGCTCACTGTGGGGGTGGTCAATCGGCACAGAAGTAATTACACGTAAGTCCCACAGTAATCTGCCAATAGCCCTATTCGTACCTATGTTCGTAGGAGAGATCATGCCTGCCTTCACCGAGCAATAGTTGACCCTAAACCCCTAAACCCTAAACCTTTAAACCCGTGCGTACAGAAGGCAAGAAAGAGCTGGGGCTTGGCTTTCTGCAATACGCTGCAGTTACAACTTCAGCTACTCCATCACAAGGCAGTCAACATAGGGGCCTGAATAACTAGAATGGTAGGGTTCTCTGGCGGTTCCTTTCAAGGGTTCTGTAAAGGGTTCTATAAGGGCTATTAAGGGCCCCGAATAATTAGAATAAAGTTTGGCGTATATTTTACGATAATCATAATAAGGGACCCCCCAAAACCCCATCCTAATTATTCAGGCAATTACATTACCATTTTACGAGAAGGCGAATGGTCAGCGACACTTCAAGCTAAACCCTAAACCTTAAACCCTCCAAACCCTCCAAACCCTCCAAACCCTAAACCCTAAACCCTCTAAGCCCTAAGCCCTAAGCCTGAGAAAGCTTCGGGTCCCGGGTGAGGATCTTCTGCCTCTCAGGAGCTCGGCATCGGCCTGCACGGCCTGCAGAGACGGGAAGAAATGAAGGGGGTGGTTCTATTTTTATAAAGCTTTAGGGTTTAGGGTTTGTTCTTATGAGGTTTCTGCAAGGGCTCCCTTTTGGGGAGTCCTTGTGACCAGAATCCTATGTAAACTATAGTGTATATATATATATATATACATATATATATACATATATATATATATAAGGTCGGAGCTGGGTCCCCTGTTTTCGCAAAATCCCAATCAAACAAGGCTTGGCTTCAAACCTGGGGTCTGCGATTCGTTGTCTGGACACTCGGATTGAAGTGGACTCTGCAAAACCTATCATGAAGATTCTGGAGCTTCCGAATCGACCTTCGGGCTAAGGCCTGCGAGCTTTCGAGTGTAGGGAGAGATTTGGGGGTTTAAACATAGAAGCCTACGATGCGACGGCCACGATACGAACAAGAGTCGGAGCCTGTTTGGATGTTCTTCCTGAGCGCCCAGCCCATCATGTTTCGCACTCATCAGCCACCTCCTTTTGCGAAGCAAATTGTTGAATCACGCTATCAAAACCCGTATCCCAGCAAAGATCAACAGTCCAAGATCGCTGGATGTGAGCTGGCACAAGTCATGTTCATGCACACCCCGCTCCGAGTGAGTGCATCTAAACAGCATCGGAGATGCCAACGGAGATACACTTGAAATAAATATTGTGATAATCTTGCGGTCTTGCAAACAACGGCGCGTCCTCCGCGGCAGGGGCAGACATTGCTGCATCAAGCTGCAAAGCTCGAAAGCACCCAGCGAAGTGAAACAGATCTTTAGATGCAAGTACTGCGACATGCTTGCAGCTAGGACCAGCTAGGACAGCTAGGACATGCGATTATGTTCACACAGACCTTGGGCCAAGAACGAAGGTGCACAGCTACATGGAACACATGCAGTCGAGGTCAACAATTCAACCCTGAGGCCAAAACTGTTCTTTCTTGCTTTTTTGCGCCAATCAAATCAGGCCATGCCCTAACACCAACGGTCCTCGCAGCGAGGCACAGCAGGCGATGGCGTTGGCCCTAAAGAAAGCTGAATTATGCCAGCATATACAAGGTGAACGTCTTCTAAGGGCTCAAGGCACGGGAAACGTTAGAGGGTGCATGCCGTGCGTGCATTTCTGATCTTATTATTTTAGGATGGATGAGGTCAGTACACGCTTCGGGCTTAGGGTTTAAAGTTTAGGGTTTGGGGTTTGGGGTTTAGGGTTCAGGGTTGAGGGTTTAGGGTTTAGGGAGGTTGCACCTGTGCACGCCAGCCAAACTCCACCAGCAGTCCGGCCCTAAAGTCACAGCACACCAAACACTCCGAACACCCCGATACCTTGGCACGATAAAGACGCAACGCGATAGGTCCTTAGGGTTTTGGGTTTAGGGTCTAGGGCTTAGGGTTGATGTAGGGTTTAGGGTTTAGGGTTTCGGGTTCAGGGTTTGGGTAAGTAGCCTCCTCCGTTGTCGCGCGGGCTCCAGAGCCCAGAGCTCCCAGAGCACCTCGAAAAACGGCAGAATGATTCATGTTTTGTTTGCTGCCCACCTCGCACCCACGCTCACTCAAGGAATCTACATATACAAGTGGGCAGCTTGAAGAACCGGCCTTTTCCGCCCGCTGAGTAACGCGGTCTGCCTAGCCATCCCATAATTCGGCCAAAAGTCAGGAGGTACGTGCGCGCATAGCAGCCGCAGAAGCAGCATCAATGCTGTATCAGCTCATATCTCACCGTCGCGGCTGCCCCTACGTGCCCCTCCGCGCTGCACGAATTTGCTGTCTCTTGCAGCAGCTTTGGCTTCAAGATGGCTTTGCGTGTCAAAATAGACTTTCACATCTTCCAAAAATCCAAGGCGCTCGGCAAGGCCTGGCTTCTGGTCCCGCAAAATCCCACACCACCATCCCAGAATGTGATCCTTGTGCCCACCCAACGTGAACCGCTCTCCGGTCTTTTGAGGGCAGGCATCTCCGGTGGGGTCATCCACTAGCCTCCCAGTCTCTGGCAACTTCAGGAGGGAGACTGTCTCGATATCACGAGCCACCAAAAGGTCAGATCGCACAAGAATGGCGTCCGTGCCTGTGACCACGTAGACCATGGTGTAGCCACCGCGCCTAGCCACAAGATCCAACGCAGAAAGTGAAGCCCCCCAAATATCTACAAGAGGCCACAACCCATCTTCATGGGGGTATGCCAAAGCCAGGGGCTCATCCAATGGCAGTAGAGGGCTGTACTCCACGGATATCACACGCGGCCTGTACTTTGATTCTGTTATCTCCTTGAGAACCCAAAGGTCGTACGAGTCTACGTCAATGGAAATATAGTCAAACTCTTCTGGCACGTGGTACTTGTCGAGTAGAGCCACGATGCCATGCGGGCCAATGATCTCGCGGTGCAAATTGATCTCAAGATTTTCATTGCCCCCATCCAGCAGCAAGCCTGTCCAGCCTTGACGGTGCAAGTTGTAGGTGTTTGAGCCCCCACCCGCTTCCCAGGTGTTTGC